AACCCGCCACCTTAGGTGTATGTGGCTGGCGCCTTAGCCGCTTGAGTCACAGGTGCCGAGCCTTCTATTTTTATTTTATTTTATTTTTCTGAAACAGAGTCTTCACTTTGTCATCCTTGGTAAAGTGCTGTGCTGTCATAGCTCACAGCAACCTTAAACTCTTGGGTTCAAGTGATTCTCTTATCTCAGCCTCCCTAGTAGGTGTGAGTACCGGGTGCCCATGACAATTTCCAGGTATTTTTAGAACAGGGTCTCGCTCTGGCACAGGCTGGTCTTGAACTCCTGAGCTCAGGCAATCCACCTGCCTTTGCCTAGCAGTGCTAGGATTATGGTGTAAGCCAGCCAGCCTGGCCTTTTGAAGTTGGTTTTCTTTTAAAGACAAAGTAAAGGCTCTGTCTCAAAAAAAAAAAAAAAAAAAAGACAGAGTAAAAAAATGATTAGGGTATTTAAGCACTATGACTACTCAAAATTTGCATGAATCTATTAACATTTTACATAGGCTGTGTCTGAAAGATTTGGTATTGTGAGATTCATAAGACTCATAGGTTACTCCACTTTTAAACAGGTCTAATGTTGAAAAAACCTTCTGCTCATGACATTTTAGAAAAATACTATCAGTAATCCTACCTAGATTACTAGCTCATGATTTCTGAGATTCTTTGACTCTTTAGTTTCTAACAGAAAAAACATAGAGCTAATTCACACATTTACCTGTTTGGTTCATTAGACAACTATTTACCATACATTATGCACCAGTCATAATATCTTAGTGTTTGTGATACAGACCTCACAGTGCTATTGTAAATAGGAATACCTAGTGGTCATTCAAGAGAAGATGTGCTGGACGGAAGGATCCAACAAAAAGAGCCCTAATAAAGCCTATAAGGCCAGTTAATGTTTTTAATTTAACCAGGGCGACAGCTTGAGGTTCTGTCTTAAAAAAAAAGGAATTCTCTATCTCCTATATACTTTTCTTTGGTTCTCTCTCTCTCTCTCTCTTTTTTTTTTTTGAGATAGTCTTACTCAGTTGCTCTGGGATTGAGTGCCATGGCATCATAGCTCACAGAAACCTCAAACTCTTGGGATTAAGCAATTCTCTTATCTGAGCCTCTTGAGTAGATGGGACTATAGGTGCCTGCCACAACACCCAGCTACTTTTTAAGAGACAGGGTCTTGAACCTGTGAGCTCAGGCAATCCACCTGCCTCAGCCTCTCAGAGTGCTAGGATTATAGGGGTGAGCCACTGCACCACTCCCCCTCTTTAAGAGTGTCTCACTCTATCACTAGAGTGAGACTGTGACTAGAGTACTATGGCATTATCATAGCTCACTGCAATCTGAAACTCCTGGGCTCAAGCAATCCTCCTGTCTTAGCCTCCCGAGTAGCTGTGACTACAGATGTGCAACACTGTGCCCAGCTAATTTTTTGTTTTTATTAGAGATAGGGTCTTGATCTTGCTCAGGCTAGACTTGAACTCATGACTTCAAGTGATACTCCCACTTTCAGCCTTGCAGAGTGCTAGAATTATAGGTATGAGTTACCATACCTGGCCATTTTCCTTGGTTCTTTATAAAAGGGGAAAAAATTCCACTTCAATCATTTTGTCTGTCTGTGCTACTCTGGATTTAAGTTAGTCTGAAATGTGACTTTAATTGTTTTGATAGATGCTTGATGAAAAAACTTTGCAAAAGGAAACCTGAACAAATAAGACATCTCTGGGAATAAGATCAGTAATGTAAAAAGAAAGAGGTAGTTTATTGAATGTCAAATATAATACATATGGCTAAGGTAGACATAATCAGAAAATGGAACCTAAAACTTTAAAACACATAGGACAGAATTAGGTGACAGGCATATTGAGAGTCTTAAATCTATATCCAGAAAGGATCATAGAAACAACAAACCGAAAAGGCCTTTTTAAGTCTGTCTTTCATCAATTTAGTCACCATGGAAATCTTGCAGAAGTGGAGAGACAATATTGGTGACAACTCAGGTACAGAATAGGCAATCATCTCAAAGGTTTCTTTGTGACTCTGATGGGCTTTAGGCCTAGAGGGATTTGCTCTTTACAGAAGATGGGCAGTTGAAGACAATACCTCTATATCTGTAGGTTTAACTCATTTATTAAATTTAGTATTTAGCACTGTGTAGTGAGCTAGATGGTATGTGTTTGTGTGACTATAGGTATGAAATAAAAGACGGTATGCATTGCATTAAGGTATTTGTAACTGAATTTGATAACACAACTATTATGTCATTAATTCAAAGGGATGATGTAAGCAAATGTAAAAATATAGGATGTATACCACTGAATGCATAGGATACCACACACATATCCAAATGTGCTTTTTACCTGAGTGGTTAAAATATCGCTCTGAGAGGACAGCCCTGAACAGTCTTCAGAGAAGCTTTCACTCTCATACCCAGATGCTGCTTCACCTTAAATAACAGAAACAGATGTTCAGACATAAAAACAGAGTATAAACAGCATAACTTGTTGCATCTTTCTCTTCCCATTGGCAGGACAGGTTGTACTTTCACGTGACACATGATTAAGCTCCTTAGCTTTGGGACACCAGAACTTCCTCTCAGAAAATGAAAACTAGAAACTCACCAATAATTAGGGCATTAAATCTCATTCAATGAGAGATGACATTCTAGCTGGGTCAAAGACTTTTGGCTTTTAAGGAAAAGCACCTTAGGAGCTTTAAGTTTTTTTTTTTTTTTTGAGACAGAGCCTCAAGCTGTCGCCCTGGGCAGAGTGCTGTGGCATTACAGCTCACAGCAACCTCCAACTCCTGGGCTCAAGCGAGTCTCCTGCCTCAGCCTCCCAAGTAGCTGGGACCACAGGCGCCCGCCACAACGCCCGGCTCGGCTATTTTTTGGTTGCAGCCGTCATTGTTGTTTGGCGGGTCCGGGCTGGGGATTTGAACCCGCCACCTTAGGTGTACGTGGCTGGCGCCTTAGCCGGTTGAGCTATAGGCGCCGAGCCAGGAGCTTTAAGTTTTAAGTTTAAGAAGCAGTTACTTTAATTATACTCCATAAATGTGCTCCACAAAAGGCAAAAACATTTAGCTCATTTCTATAAATAGACCAGGGCAAACACAAAAACCTTATTCCAATACCTAAGTCTGAATCCACACTTTGTTCTTCTTGGTGATTATCTTCTTCCAGGCTAGGTTCCCTTTCTTCATCATTTGAAACCAATTCATTGTCACTCAGAACTTCCTGGTTTTCTGACTGATCCCTCATTTGCTTGGAAAGAGGATCAGACATCAAGAAGGGATCCTGGGTGTTTGTATTTGCAGTCAAGTCTTCACTGCACTGTGAAGAAAACAAGCTAACAGAACACTTCGCTTCCTCGCTAAGGTGATTTTCCTGGGATGCCTTGACCAGCGTTACCTGGTTACTACAGTCATTTAAGGTATTCTGCAAAGATACCAGGGTCTCTTCTGTTTTTCTAGACAGACACTCAGTGGCAATAGTGCTTTGTCTGGTAGATTGAGAAGATGTATTAGTTACTTTGCCAAATAGTAAGTGTTGGAAACAGGGAAGCTCTTCATCTTCACTAGACATGTTCTCTTCTGAGGACTCTAATTTCCTAACCTCTCTTTGGTGAGCCTGAGTCAAATGTATATGGGCTAAAGGGCTAGGGCTCCTGCTAATCTCTCTTCTCATGACATTTTTGCTAAAAACAGCAGATCTTTCCTTAATGTTATTTTCAGCAAAACTGGTATTTTCCTTTAGTTCATCATCAACTAATAAGTCATCAGGTGTCTCAGAACAAAGCTGAGAAGCATGACTACTTCTCGTAGGTTGTTCTAGGTTATCTGAAATTAGACATGAAGAAAAATCTGGATTAACAGGTTGAACTACTCCATTTTCTTGCCCTTTTATTTTAGGATGTTCACAATTACTTATAGGAAGATTTTGTTTATAGACTTCAGGTTGCATAAGACCTAATCTAAGCACAGCATTCAACTTAGGTCCTCTGTTTTTATCTAGTTCTGCTTGAATGTTTTCACTACTGGGGCCTACTTCGTTAACACTGGAGCCCACTTCATTAGTACTCGAGCTTACTTCATTGATACTGCTTGAACTGGCTTCTTTATAAGCACTTTCTCTGTTATTTTGGTTAATTGTATTCATTGTACTTGGAACGGTGTTCTCGTTTCCTACTGCTTTTTCAGGTAACACTGAATGTTCTTCAAACCTTTCCTCTAACAGGTTTGTATTACATTTAGTTTTATCAAATAGCCTGATAGGAGAAAGTGGTGGTATATGATAGAGGTTTTGTAAAATTCCAAGTTTATTTACAGTAATGGATTCAGTTTCATTGTCTCGAAACTGATTTGACAAACAAAACCTAGATGCTTCTTTGATGCTGTATTTGGCATAATCATCTGTTTTCTTATCTTTCTGACAAACTACAGAGAAGCCTGTATTGATATTATTTCCCTGTATATGCTTGATTTTAGGCTCTTTCATTCCTGGATTTTCTATTTGTTCACATTCAAGAATGACTTTTGAACCTTTTCTTAAGGACGCAGAGAGAGACTGGGCACAGACTGTTGCACATTCCTTTCCTAGGTTTGAAAACAGAGCAAACGACTGACGCTTTGAAAACTTGAATGTATTCTGTAAATACTGAGTATCAAGTTCACTGTCTTCCATTTCCATGCTTATCTTCTGAATGTGGTTAATTTCATGTCTCAATGGATCCTTATAGCCCTCTGTGTCATTTCCAGTATCTTTAGAGCAACCATGGATTAGTTCCTTGGGGTTTTCAGTGGCTGTACCCTGACTTGCATGTTTATTTGGTGCTGTTTTCACCTTCCGTAAGACTTTAACTTTCAGTAACGAGTTACTGTCCTGAGTACCATAATCAGTATCAGGTACCAATGAAATACTGGTGCTTTTTATAGATCTTTCTTCACTTTCAATTTGCAAAACCCTTTCTCCACTTAACACCGGACCTTTGGTACTATTAGACACTTGAATTGTTTCTTCTAAGTTCTCTTCTGTTTTTTTTCTTTGAAGGCTAGGATTGACAAATTCTTTAAGTCTATTAGAACCTGAACAGTTAGTAAAAAAACTAGATATATTTGTTAATGCCACTTCTGGGAAAGTATCACTGACATGTCTTTTACTTATTTGCTCATTTGGCTTGTTACTTTTCTTGGCTCCAGTTGCAGGTTCTCTATCTTCCATGAGTCCAGGCTTTCTGCTATGCCTGACTGGTATTTGGTCAGAACTTTTATCCTTTATTTCTTCACTGCTAGAACAACTGTCAATTTGTAGGTTGGTATGATTAGGAGGGCTTGGATTTTTATTGACTACTAGTTCAAGTGCACGAATATGCCTGCTAGAAGACTTCTTCCTCAGCCTTTTCTTTTTACTTGCTTTTGAATTGTGAATATTTAATTCTAATTTCATATTACTTATACTGCTGCTTATAGGTTCAGCTTTAGTTCCGAGAGAAGATTCTTTTTCCAATGATTCTGTTGAGTTAGCATTTTTTTCATTCTGAACATAATCACCTTTTGTTTCATTCTCATAACCACTATTAGTAATATTTACCACGTGACTATTCTGATCCACTTGGTTAGTTCCCTGAATTCTCTTTTCAGGTGTCTTTTGAACAACTGCCAAATCTGCCTTCTTGATAAAATCCTCAGGACAAAGACCTGATGTAGTTCTCCTTTTACGTTTTAATTTATTTGTGAGGGAACACTCTTGTGTTATCTGTGGCTCAGTAGCAGCTGCTCTTATAATTAGATTTTCAGTTACATGGCTTAAGTTAGGGAGGCTTGCCTTCCTCCGATAAGTTTTCCCAAATATTTTATCTTCAACTTTACTCTTTATTGGTTTGGAGTGAACTCTTTCACTTTTACATATTATAGGATAATGAGGATCACTGGCCAGTAAGTCTATTTTCTCTGAGGAACTGGAATATCCATCTACTTCACTTGGAACTTCTAAGGCTCCAGCTACTTCAGCATGTGATTCAGAACCCTCATCATGTGAGTCATCAGAAGTTAACATTTCATCACTTCTAGAAAACCATTCATTAACTTTCTGAATGCTGCTATTTAGTGTTATCCAAGGAACATCTTGGCTATCTCTAGGATTCTTGGAGCATAGAAGTTTCTCCTTATTCTGTTCTTTTCTCCCATATGGGGGAGCAGTATTCAGATCTACCTTTTGCTCAGGGCTGCAAGTGTGCCTATCATTGCATGTTTCCTTACTTTGAGCCGATCTGCTCTGTTGGCTCCTTGCTAAGCCAGGCTGTTTGCTTTTATTACAAAATTCAGCCTTTTCTACATTCATTTTGTCTTTAGTGAGTAATAAACTGCTGCTCTCATGCTGTAATGAGCTGGCATGAGTATTTTTGCCACATGGCTCCACATGCAAGTTTGAAACAGAACTACCCTGATACTTTTCTGGATGCATCTCAGTTGCACGTTTCTCAATGGTGTTCAAATCCTTATTACTGGATTGATGATGTTCAATACTTGTTATGTCCTTCTCAGAAACCATACAAGTAGCTGAAAATACACAAAAATAACAAGGAGTTTAAAAATGGAATCATTATGGAAAAATGAATACTTAGTACAACTTGGAAGGAGAAATCAAGCAAATGGCTATATTCAGAGACACTAACCCCATAAGCCACCAAGTATACTGCAGATATAGTTAATGCTCTTTCATTTAATTCCTATTTCCACTCAAGATCATTAAAATTTTAGTTTCAGAATTTTTCCTATGCATAAACCGTTAACCTATTTCCCTAACCATAAAGAGTAAATTAAAAGCAGATTAGTCATTAGACACAGTTCTGATGTACTCTAAGGATTACTGGCCATGAAGTCTACTTAATACTTTATTTTATCCACAGGCTCATACTCCCTAATTTAAAAACCAGGGGTAACAACAGTCCGGCGTTGTGATGGGCACCTCTAGTCCCAGCTAATTGGGAGGCTGAAGCAAGAGAATCACTTGAGCCCAAGAGTTTGAGGTTGCTGTGAGCAATGATGCCATAGCACTCTACCGAGGCATAATGAGACTCTATCTAAAAAAAAAAAAACACTAGTAGGCAAGAAATGAAATACAAATACCACAATTAAAGGTAAAGGGCAGGTAAAGGGTAAAGGTAAAGTTTGTAGGGTACTAATATAATTGCATTAATCTAATACCATTTATCAAGCTATACCATGTCATCTGAGAATGATATTCTAACTCTGCCAAGAGATAGTGTGAATTATAAAGGTCCAAAAAGGTCTTCAGAATAATCAATTACAGTAGTGTATCTACTCTATCTCTGTTTAGCGCCAGTTAAGTTGGGAAGGCTTGCCATTACCCTTTTTTGCAGAATCCACACTGGATTTAACCCTGGCTCCTTGCGGTGTGATTTGTAATAGTTCTTGATCTCCCACACTATAGGAAAAAGACAGAGAAGTCCTAATGAGAAACACTAGTTACCATAATTTGCCATGTATAATGCATTCCCAGAAATAACGTGCACCCGTCATTTGGACCCAAACTTTTAGGAGAATACTCCATGAAAAAGTGGCTGTCTTTCAGCCAGAAGAGACACATCTGGGGAGGGCTAATGCTATTCTGGTAGATGTACACATCATACTGCCCTCCCACAGCTACCCACTCTCTGAAGGCTGCCTGTTCCTTCTTTCCTGAGAATCTGTCCCTCCATGCCACACTGGAATAGTGGCCAAGACAGCCACGTGAGTGGCCATGGACAGCATGGCAGGAGCTTCTGAGGCTACTCAGCATGTGGGTAACCAGGCAGGTTCCTGGGGCCTGCCTGGGGCTCTTGGTCCCCTTGGTGGCTGAGCTTTAGACCTTGGTCTTCATTCCACAGTGCAGCTGCCTGTTTCACCAGCCCCACCATTGTCCCCTCCCAACTACAGCACTCAGCAGACTTCTCAGGCCTATTCCTAATGGAATCCAGATTCTCCTGGACTGGAACCCCATGCTCCCAGCAGGTCCAGGCAGGAGGGCATGGCAGCCCTGGGAGACCCTCTGGGCTCTCCCATTCCCAAGCCATACTACTCATGTATAATGCACATCCTTACATTTCCCTTAAAAATTTGGGCCAAACGATCCATATTATACACAGCAAAATACAGGGTATACGCTCACAAATCTATAAAAAGAGCAAGATCAAATATCTTAGCTCATGGAGTAAGCTGACTAATCTGATTCACTTATTGAAACCTGCTCTCTCTTTCAGTAACTTCAGTTGAAATGAAATGGTAAAAGACTGAGAACACACAAAAATCAGAGCAATAGCATAGAACATTGCATTATGGACATGCAAATGACAGCCAAATTTAAATGAATGCCAAAAGTTAGTTTTGTTTTGTTTTTTGAGGTAGAGTCTCATTATGTCACCCTCAGTAGAGTGCTGTGGTGACATAGCTCACAGCAACCTCCAACTCCTGGACTTAAGTGATTCTCCTGCCGTAGCCTCCTGAGCAGCTGGGACTACAGGTGCCCACCACAACACCTGGCCATTTTTTGTTGCAGTTGTTATTGTTGTTTAGCTGGCCTGGGCCAGGTTCCAAACCTGCCACCCTTGGTATATGTGGCCAGTGCCGTAACCACTGTGCTACAGGCACCAAGCCCCAAAGTTAGTTTTTAAAAAGATATACATACACACACACACACACACACACACACACACACACATATTTGGAGACAGAGTCTCAAGCTGTTGCCCTGGGTAGAATGCTGTATCATAGCTTACAGCAACCTCCAACTCTTGGGCTCAAGCTATCTTCTTGCCTCAGTTTTTCTACTTTTAGTAGAGACTGGGTCTCACCCTTGCCCAGGTTCAAACTTGTGAGCTCAAGCAATCCACCCTTCTTAGGATTTTTTTTTTTTTGAGACAGAGCCTCAAGCTGTCCCCCTGGGTAGAATGCCGTGGCATTACAGCTCACAGCAACCTCCAACTCCTGGGCTCAAGCGAGTCTCCTGCCTCCGCCTCCCAAGTAGCTGGGACCACAGGCGCCCGCCACAACGCCCGGCTATTTTTTGGTTGCAGCCATCATTGTTGTTTGGCGGGTCCAGGCTGGGGATTCGAACCCGCCACCTTAGGTGTACGTGGCTGGCGCCTTAGCCGGTTGAGCTATAGGCGCCGAGCCCCTTCTTAGGATTATCGGCACTAGCAACAGTGCCCAACCAAATACATCTTAATATCCAAATTAAGATATATCTTAGGCTTGGCATCCATGCTCAGTGGTTAGGGCGCTAGACACATATACCGAGGCTGGTGGGTTTGAACCTGGCCCAAGTCTGCTAAACAATGACAACTACCAAAACAAACAAACAAACAAAAAAAAAACAAACCAAAAGCCAGGTGTTGTGGCGGAGGCGCCTATAGTCCCAGCTACTTGTGATGCTGAGGCAAGAGAATTGCTTAAGCCCAAGAGTTTGAGGTTGCTATGAGCTGTGATACCATGGCAATCTACTGAGGGCAACATGAGACGGTCTCAAAAAAAAAAAAAATAAATAAAAAGATGTATCTTAATATCCAATGGGATGGAGGAGACATCCCAATATAATACAAAGACCTTGCTACACTGCTTTCAGGGCCCTTTTTTTTTCAGGCTAAAAATAACTTCTTCTCCATTAGGAAAGTCATTTGTAAACAAAAACTGACAATGACATCATTATAGTTCAGATCCAATCTTAGATAGGATCAATTAGTAATTCCTAAGGAAACAATATAGCAGATAACACAGTTAGGGACTGCTTGTGGATTATTATATAACTTATACAGACAAAGTATGAAATACAGGTGGCAATCAGGAACAGAGGAAGGAATTAAAAATGGAGACCTATAACATTTTCATCAGCCACAATTACCACTGTGTCAATGATACTTTTAACATATATGAATATTCAGCTAGAGAAGAACAATCTGCTAGAACCAAGTATGTACATGCACAGAGCCCCACAGTTATGTTAAACTCCTCTGAACAGGCTCGGCATCCATAGTTCAGTGGTTAGGGCAGCAGCCACATATACTGGGGTTGGCGGGTTAAAACCTGGCTTGGGCCTGCTAAACAACAACGATAACTACAACCAAAAAATAGCTGGGCGTTGTGGTGGGTGCCTGTAGTCCCAGCTACTTGGGAAGCTGAGGCAAGAGAATCGCTTAAGCCCAAGAGTTTGAGGTTGCTGTGAGCTGTGACGTCACAGGACTCTACTGAGGGCAACGTAATGAGACTCTGTTTCAAAAAAAAATACCAAAAAAGAAAAAAAAAGAACCTCCTTTGAACATTACTAATTAATAAATCAAACAAGCAAACAAAAAGGAAATTAAAAAAAAAAAAAGTAAATTTCTTCAGCTATATGTGTAATAATATCAGGGGATTAATGATCTTTGAGATGTCTTCTAATACCACGGTTCTAATATAGAAAACCATCAATCTTTAATATTAGCAAGGAAAATACCATCTTCATAGACAAAGGCTCTTTGACTTACCTGTAACAACTTGCCTTATCAACTGTATCTTCAGAAGAATCAGATCCTAAAAAAATTTACCCCCAGTCCCCCCCAAAACAAGTCAGTAAAAGGTTTTTTACTGAAAGGGCTAAACTCAAAAGATGTACTTGTTAAAAAAAAAATTAAGTTTTTGCAAAATAGGTACTCATTTATCTAGAAGTATTCACTGTGCCTTAATTTCCTCATCTATAAAATAAGTATCACAGTTAACAACTCCAGAGGATTGACATACATCTTAAATGATTTATACAAGAAAAGTGCAATAGGGCTTGGAATAGTTAACTACCTTTAAATATTAAGTACTATAATATTTAAATTATTTTCATGACGTAATACCTATTGTCTAAGAATTTATTATCTTAAGGAGGAAAAACACATACAGGAAATTTCAATAAAATCTACTAAGTATTATGGAAGATGTGGTGGTTAGGAGTTCAAAATATGGCCACCCTTTACAATTATAAACATAATCTAGAACATAAGCCAACTAGAGAGACTCTTTTAAACTCTGAGTTCAGTTCTTTTCTTTGGAGACATGAGTGGAAGATAAGTTAACTATGAGGGAATATAGATTTTATTTTACTCTAATTTTTTTGAGACAGGGTCTCATTTAGTCATTCAGGGTAGTGTGCAGTTAAAGCAATTCTCTTGCCTCAGCCTCCTGAGCCTGAGTAGCTGAGACTACATATAGGTACATACTTCCACATGTGGCTGTTTTTAATTTTTTGTTGAGACAGGTCTCACTACATTTCTTAGGCTGATCTTGAACTCCTGGCCTCAAATGATCCTCTAGCCCTGATCTCCCACAGTGCTAATATTACAGGCATTGAGTCACTAGGCCCAGACATTAGCTTTTCTTAAAATGCTTCCTCATGTAGAATGATATATCTTGGATCCCTCTAAATATTGCTACAATCCATCATGTTCTTTCTTTATTACTCTCCATCTTTCCAAAATAATACTATATATCCTTAAACCAGGCATCTTTTGTTGCTCCCTTTTAAAGTAAGATTTCTTAAGGTGGGAACCACATCCTTTAGATTATTTATAACTCACCATAGGGCTGATAAAATTCACTTTCTAAAGCTCTCTACTACATTCATAAGTTATGAACAGAGTTTTTGGCCTATACTGGCAAAACTGTAAGATAAGCAATCCACCAATTATTATTCTAAACTTTAAAAAATCTGAGACCCTTACCCAATTCAATGTAGACAGATTTATTCTGAGGTTGTATCTGCTGCTTTGTCCTCAGAGATCTCACAATTCCAAGGTTGGAGAGTTGGACGCTAAGATTGGTTTCCTGCTAAGCAGTACATTAAAGAACAGTCAACCAAGTTTTGGCCATTTCTATGCTTTTTGTCTGAAGACGCTTGAGGCCACAGACAAAACATATCAACCATCATCAGTCAGCTAAAACTTATCACACCTGGAAAATTTCCTGAAAAACTACACAAAAATGTCTGCATTATATATGATTTGAATTTCTTTGGTCTATCTGTTTTAAATTTTTCAAAACTGATTTTATATGATCTGTGTAATCTTTTAAAGTATTAAAATAGTATATTTTGAAGCTGATATTTGATATATATTTCCTATCACATTTGATAACAGGGTTGGAGACTAAGATAAATTTTTAAAAGGGATAAATGACAACAATAAAATCACTACATTCCTAAGAATAGTAAGAAAAAGAATAGTTAAAAGCCCAACATTACTTTGACAAAGCTTCTATACTTCCTTTTCAGCCCTTGTATATCTCCAGAAAAAAAAACCAAAAGCTAGTACCATGAGAACTATTACTTTTAAGATCCCCATTATTCATTCACATATCAGTAATGACAGAGCAAATCACTACATTTCTATGACAATTACATTTAAGTTGAAATAATTTTCAAATGCTTAAAAATATCAGTGAACTGGTGGCCATTTTAGATAGGCATCAGAGCAAATAAAGCTCTAAAGTAGAAGGGCCTGCATGTCTTTTTCTCTCTCTTTTTTTAAATTTTTGAGATGGGAATCTTCCTCTGCTATCTAGGTTAGTCTTGAACTCCTGGGCAAACCTCCCGCCTCAGCCTCCCAAGTAGCTGGGACTATAGGCACATCCACCTTGCTTCCTCTCTTGACCACACTAGATACCTTGACTTCTGAACTCCTCTAACTCTTATTGATTAGGGTACTTTTCCAACTACTTTATTCATCATCTTCCCTTCTATACTGACTTTGTATATGAATGATTTAGAACATTCACCAACTCACAATGCTCAATAAAAAGATGACAGAATAGATGAAAATGGTTTTACCAAGGTAGGATTTTCATGTTTGCTCTGTCGAAGTCTTTTGGCACGGTTTCTGTAGCCCATACTTTGAATGATAGACACTTCATCTTTTAGAAGTTCAGGAGAGTTATTTCCCTTTTTTGCAAAATTATAATTGTTTGCAACTGTAAATTATAAGAGAAAATGTTATTTCTGTAATCATTAAAAAAGTATGCACTGTAATCAAACCAAGAGAAACCCTGTGTATGTTCTTTATTATGTTAAAACAAGACAAAACATTAGGGTTATCTCTAATTTTTTTTTTTTTTTTTGAGACAGAGTCTCAATTCTCATCCAGGGTACAGTACCCTGATATAATAGCTCACAACAACCTCAAACTCCTGAATTCAAGTGATTCTCTTGCCTCAGCCTTCTAAGTAGCTGAGATTGCAGGCTCTATAAGGCTTGGCTAGTTTTTTCTATTTTTTAGTAGAGATGGGGTCTTATTCTTGCTTAGGCTGGTCTCGAACTCCTGAGCTCAAGGGATCTAACTGTCTCAGTCTCCTAGAGTGCTAGCATTACAGGCGTGAGCGACTGTGCCCAACCAATACTTTTATTTATCTTTTTTTTTTTTGACACAGAGTCTCAGTCTATTACCCTGGGTAGAGTGCCCTGACATCAGAGCTCACAGCAACCTAAAACTCCTGGGCCCAGGTGACCCTCTTGCCTCAGCCTCTTAAGTAGTTGGGACTATAAGCAACCTCCACAATGCCTGGCTAGTTTTTTCTATTTTTAGTAGAGATGGGGTCTCCCACTTGCTCCAGCTGCTCTCAAACTCCTGAGCTCAGGTGATCTACCTGCCTTGGCCTGGCCTCTACCAATATTTTTAAAAATCAACTTTGGAAATTCTACTCCTTAAAAATGCAAACATAGACCATCAAAGTTATTTTTAGTCCTTGCTTTCTATCTCAACACTAACAAATCTGCTATTAATTCAGTATTTCATGAATCAAAGACACCAACAATGTTACATGCATCATTATTTTCTGTACCACTAAGAAGGAATGCTAAATTTATTTATTTATTTATTTTTGAGACAGAGTCTCACTCTGTCACCCAGACTGGATTGCAGTGGTGCTAATGTAGCTCGCTACAACCTCCACTTCCTGGAGGCTCAAGTGATCCTCTTGTCTCCTAAGTAGCTGAGAGTATAGGCACACATGAGCATACTTGGCTATTTTTTTTTTTTAATTTTTGGTAGAATCTCACTCTGTCACCCAGAATGGATTGCAGTGGTGCTAATGTAGCTCGCTACAACCTCCACTTCCTGGGCTCAAGTGATCCTCTTGCCTCCTGAGTAGCTTAGCTTATAGGCACACATGAGCATACTTGTCTATTTTTTTTTTTTTTAGTTTTTGGTAGAGATGGCAATCTTACTGTGTTGCTCACTATGAGCTCCTAGCCTTAAGAGATCCTCTCTCCTTGGCTTCCCAAGTGTGGGGATTACCATACCCAGCCCATAAAGACACCAAATTAAACAATGGCACACCATTGATAGTAAAATGGCTCCCAATTTCAGAGATGTTAAGATGTGAAAAATATACATCTTAAGAGTGATGGCTCGGCACCTGTGCCTCAAGCGGCTAAGGTGGCAGGTTCGAATCCCCAGCCCAGGCCCGCCAAACAACAATGATGGCTGCAACCAAAAAATGGCCAGACGTTGTGGCAGGCGCCTGTAGTCCCAGCCACTTGGGAGGCTGAGGCAGGAGACTCGCTTGAGCCCAGGAGTTGG